GTAATCCATCTTCTCCTCTTTATTTTGCCCTAATTTTATACTTTTGCTCCGGTCTAACCGCTTGTGCCTTTGCCCTAATCCGCAGGCCCTGCGTGATGCTGTTATACCCCTTGTAAGTAGAGTCGTTCTTTCTTATTTTGTATGGAGAAGAAGAAGAGATGGTAGAAAAAGAAGATTTTGTTTGGTTGAAATGATTTTGATTGGATTTTGATGATGTTGGGTGCAGATATGCGTCGGTGGTGGCAATAGAGAGTCCAACAAAGGTGGATGATGAGCAGTGGCTGGCCTACTGGATTATTTACTCCTTCTTAACCTTGTTTGAGATGGTTGCAGAGCCCTTGCTGTCATGGTATTTCTTGCCAATCTCAAATTAGTTGTGTAGTTGTAAAATTACAAATTCATGTACGAAATTTATCAGTTTTTGGACTACTCATGAGTGTTTTATTATTTGTTAAATATATCTTAACAACTTTTACTTAGGTTATTTTTGTTCTGATTATTTTTATTCAGAATTTTTATACATCAATTTTATCTATCAAATCCTTGAGTCTATGTTTTTATTTATCTTGTATTTATTAGAACTATGTTTACATAGTCTCATTCTTATTTTAGCAACACCCCTATCTTAATATTATAAATTTCATGCACAAAATTTGCCACCTGATCGAATCTTTAAAGTTTACATACATACCACTTTATATCATGTTATTTACATATCTAACACAAAAAACTTTAATATTTCATGCCTACCACCGGCCCATAGATCAAATATGAGTGCAAGAAATGAAATATTAAAGTTTAAAATGTGTTATGGGTGGTAGGAATGAAATATATGAGGGACATTTTTATATTGAAGTTGTTTATGGCGTTAGACATGATATATTAAAGTTTTAGGTGTTAGATATATAAATAACATAATATAAAGTTGTATGTATGTAAATCCTCCATCTTTAAAATATAGCTAAAATGAGAAAAGCACCAAAATGTTATGGTAGGCGTGTGGTTGCTATTGAATCTTGCTTAACTGTGATATATTTCATATGCCTTACAAAATATGGTTATTTCTGATAAACTGTCTGCATTTGATGTTGAAGGATACCCATATGGTATACGGTAAAGTTGATATTTGTGACATGGCTGGTGCTTCCACAGTTGAGGGGATCGGCCTTCATTTACAATAAGTTTGTAAGGGAGCAGCTGAGGCTATATGGATATGGAGGGCACAAGGAAGACAAGGAAGTTACTAAACCCTCCTCACCCAGTAAGGGTAGGAACAAATTTCTTGGGCTTGCTCGCTCGAAGAAGGTGATCAACTCTTTATGTGTGTGTGTGTTTTTTTTAATCTTACTTTATATTCCATTTTTAGGGTGCATTTGAAATAATATTTTTGCAGTTTGTTTTATAGACCACTGCTATACTTTTAGCAGTCTATAAATTTTTTTTAGAATAAAATTTATTAGGATTTAGTAGATTTCAAAAAAGCAACTTTATTAAAATTAACAAGTAAAACTATATATTTTGAAAACTGTTATAAGTATTATATAATTTTTTTTGAAAATATTGAATATCAATTTTCTTATATCTGTTTTTGATCATCAAAATTTAAAGTAATAATAAATTTATTTCCATTGGAAAGCAAAGCTATGAACTTTTTTTTTTTAAGAAAAAAGTTTGAAATAGTCTTGTGTCTATTGTTTAAAGTGATAGTGAAATAGATAAGGATATTATTAGTAGAATTCAAATTGGATGGTTGAAGTGGAGAATTGCATTGGGCCTTTCTGTGATGGACAAGTACCCCTCAAATTTAAGGTAAAAATTTATAAAATGGTGATGAGACCTTCATTGCTTATGGTGTGGAATGTTGGCCCTTAAAAAAAGTGTTGTAGAGATAAGGATGCCAAGGTGAATGTATGACTTTACACTTAGAGATTGAATATTAAACAAGTATATACATGGAGTAGCTTCAGTAGCATATAAAATTAAAGACTCTTCTTAGATGATTTGATCACATAAAACATTGGCCTTCTGAGAGTGGATGTATTAGATCTTAGTCTATATTATGAAAAGCAGAGGTAGACGTAAAAAAACCTGGTTATAACCTTTTTTAAATAAATTTAAATAAGAATCTGACTTTTAATAGGACACAATGGAGAAAAAAAAGATTCATGTAGACCGGTGGGATAAAAACTTGTCATCATCACAACAATCTCATAACTATTTTTAAGATTGCTGCAGTTGTCCAAACTGTGACCCTTAATAATAGATATTAGTTGAGATGGTTACTTGGTTAGTTTTTTTTTTTTTTAATATTGTTTGAATTCTCTTGGAAGCTAGCTAACAAATTCTTATAAATTGCAGGGGGAGTAGGAGC